TAAAAATTTCATAAGTCGTGGAGTCATATAAATATCATATATCGTCGAGAAGCAAATGGAAATGTAAAACTCTAGTGAATATTAATTCAACGTAGAGGATATTTTGAGAAGGCAACAGTGCAAGCCTACATGCTGCAAAAAAAGGGAAGGATCATCAGATATTATAATGAAGTTTTTTCATTATTCACAGAAGAATGTTGGTAATGAATAAGTCCGTTAATTAATAATGTACCCTACCCTTAGACAACAATCAGAAGAGAAAATATCTTAGGTTATGTCATTTTCCAACTAGATCCTATTAGTAGGAAATAATAAGTGTCATATAGGATAATTGGATCAAATATTAAAAATATCGAATTTATGGCAACACAATCTAAGCGAAGTAGTACATGAATGATCCAAGTACAGAAAATTCAAAATAACTTGTCTTCTAGATCTAAACGGATAAAAGGTCTCAATTTATATATAAATGAAGATGACGTTGCAAATACTTGACGAATCGATTTATAAAAATAATAACGAAATGATATGTTTAACTTTTTTAGTTTTCCTTTGAAAGAATATAAGACATGACTAAGAAAAATTCTACAATGTATAATAAATAATAACTTTTAGACCATTTTTCGCGCATATTTTCAGGCTTGCGCCAACCCAGTGGCCTTTGATCTACTTTTATTTTTTTAAAGGATCCATGGCTTACCTCACAGGTCTAACGAATGCGTTCTGTCGGCTTCTAGAAGAAGTTGGCAACCTATGGGTCATTCCCGATTGATTAAGCCTAGTTGCATTAGTACGGCTGAGGGTACCCAGTACATTAACATCAGAATGACCAATAGATTCGAAATCGGAGTTTTCACTACTCATCATTGTATTGCCATTGGTAGACGGGCTTGAATGTAGCAAAGAGGTATGGCAGGAAGTGATGGTCCCGGACGTTATAGGCAGCATCGAGGTAGAGGATGAAGAGGACACAAAAGCAGTGGGATAAGTGTGAAGTGAAGTAGAATAAGAGGAGGATGAGGAGGAAAGCGATGGGGATGGTGAGGAATTGATGCAATCTAAAGCGTTTCGAAGGCCCCTGTTGGCAGAAAGCAATCCCAAAGAGCAAACCGGTTTACTGTTCTGCTCAAGGCTGATTGGAACAACAGAAGTAGCAAGAGCACTGCTAAAGAGTACAGGTTCTCCAAAATTGAGCTGCGAACTAGTTTGCGGCAACGTGGAACCAGAATGAATTCCTCGGGATAAACCTGGTAGGAAAGGCAACCTGGCAAGGTCAGGCACAGGAATGCGAGGAGAAGGGTGACCGCTCCGAGTGGCTGCAACGCGGGCACGGATGACGGTTGGCTTGCTAGGCACTAGGTTGTCGTAGAGACCCGGAGTAAGAGGACCAAGTTCAAGTCTGGGAAACTAAAAATAACCAAAAGCGGGTTGGTGGCGGTTCAATAGGGATTAGATTCACAATGAACAATTCTTATCAAATAAGCAAGTGGATATAAAATGAGAAAACCGGTGAGTAATTATATAGGAAGTCAGAAGTAGGTAGATTATCTTTAACAAGAGTAAATGTGTATAAAAATAAACAACTATTTCGAAAATTTCCCTAAATGTATCATTTTCAAATATTGCGGTTTGGTGCCAAGGATGGCAACGCTAACTAACTACCCTGGGTACGATGTCGAGGACAGGTCTATGAAGGTATCTCGTCACTTGTCAAGGTAAGAAAAAGTAAATAATGAGATAGGAAGCATTATGACACACTCCGAAGTGTCCTTTCAGACAAAACTAAGTTGCATAGAAGGAATCAAACCAACAGTATAGGTAAGAAACTGCTCATGTTCTTCATGCTTAAAGTCTCTTCAGTATATTTTCAACATAAATTTGCCGGATACGCAATAATATATTCCAATATTATTAGATATATTCACCCTATTTCGCTTAGAGGAGTAAAGGACTGGTAGTAGAATTTTCCCACAATGATATGCGTATAGCTGACATTCCATTGAATTTCAAATAGCCTTGTTTTCCCAAAACTTGTCTTCATCCAGGGTGGACTGCAGTTTCGGCCTCGCATAGGTCTTATCAACACCCCCAGCGGGAGTAGAACTGTGATAGTGCAGCATGTGGGTTTGACATGCTACCAGTCAACCACATTGCCACAAGTGTCCTTGGATCACAGGGCAGATGTCAATTTTAATGGAGGCCAGGCCTTTACCCATATATCATTCTTCGGTGGGATTGTTGATGAAGTAAACGTATTTTTTCTATGAAAATCGACTATTCTACTTATTGTATGTATTTAAGTAGAATTTTAATATATGGGAAAAGGCCTGGCCTTACTTTAAACTCACATCAGACCTGTGACCCAAGGACACTCGTGTCAATGTGGCCTAGTGTTTAATGTGTCAAGCTCACATGCTGCATTATCACGATTCGACTTCCGCTGGGGGAGTTAATAAGACCTATGCGAGGTCGAAGCTGCAGTCCACACTGGATGATAACAACTCTTGGGAAAGCAAGGCTATGTGAAATTCAATGGAAACATTAGCTCTACTCATATCAGTGAGAAAATTCTACACCCAGTCCTTCATCACCTCAAACGAAATATGATTAATATATCTCATATTACTGATTAAATGGTAGTCTCGAAACTCAACTTAATTATGAAAAATATTTCAATATATTCATTACAACCGATTATTAAAAACCAGTTGAAGCAAAGCAAATCGGAGCTCAGGAATTTATCTTGAGGTAGGGAAAAATATGATATGATACTTTTTCTCAAAGAAATGGTCTCCTCAGCGTAATGTCTCTGCTTTCAGCATAGGAATAAGAGAGACATGTCTAGATTCTCTAAGAATCTTAAACTCATTCTCTCATAATATGATCTTAAAAACAGTTTGTAAAACTTCTCCCGTCACCATAATATTCACCAAATTTATCTATGTATTTTTATGGAGAAGGAAGAGAATGGGATACAATAAAGTTCCAAAAGAGAAGAGAAATGGCCGCGTTAGTACTGTAATTCTCGCCGAAAGGGGCCAGCAAGGACAATGTACATATGCCTTTAAGATATTTAGATATATTTCCATCGCTTCGAAATGAAAGTCCATCGATTAGGGAAGCTTACGTCTTGAAGGAAAGGCGGATATATTTGATTAATTTTTTACTTAGTGATAAGGTAGCACATAACCTTCAATTATTTACTAATGAAGAAAGTCTGATATAATTAATCTAGATACAAGTAGCAAAAGTATAGACTTGATTTGCCATTAAAAATTGAAAAAAAAATTAAACATTTCAAACCTTAAGTCGTAAGTAGCGATTCCAAGCTCGCTTAAACTTCAAATGAACTAA